CTTATCGGTAATCTCGGATTTATATAATTGTAAAACATGGCAAAACAACTACGTACACGAAGTACCTTGCAGACAATACGTCTGCAACGTAAGCTTTACCAGAAGTCATACTGATCAATGAATAAACCACAAAATCTCGTTTTGTCTCTAAAGGTATCACGTACTTGAACAACGCATTCCTAGCCGAAGTCACTCGGGAGGGCTGTGGTTCTAGGAGCCGATGCTTACCCAGACAAGATGTATTCACATAAACCCAGATAGTTCTCACTTGTTCATCATTTTCAATCCTACCTTTCCTTTCTTGGTAAGACCATAAAATCCTATTAGGGGAAAAAAAACACCACGGTGTGAAATCGAGCTGGATAGGAATTCACCTCATGGGACGATGCTGTGGTAGGATACACCGACCCTTTCACTTCCGTTCTTGCCCCTGCTTCAAAGGTTATACTTCATCAGTTCAGTAAATGTCAACATTCCATCATCACTGCAATTATTTAGTTGGAAACTCGGCAACAAGTTTCCGATGCTTTGAAAAAGATGTCACAATCTAGTTTATGTACTTCCGAGATTTCCTTGGGGCACACAGCAGTGTGGTTGTTACGTTCTGTGTTCGTATTCTACTCTAACATTCAATTTAACTCAACTTCCGCCGCATGTCCCTGTCGAGAGTAGTTTCATTTCAGACGTGTTTTGTGGAAGGATCAGAAAATGTAAAATCTGACTCCGTTTGTCCCCGTTGGCAATAGCACATAGCGGCGAGTTCTTTCTTTACAAATGATGGCAAATGTTGACATGTACATGCATGTGCTTCGGGGCTCACGATCCTCTGCGCAACACGATACCAGCGCTAATACTATCGTAACACAGGATACAATATTCGTAGTTATCTAAAAGCTGCTGATTCTAAGTGGAGCCTTCCGGAAATGCAAATCTCGTGCCACTTCACGCTCAAACAGTGTTGAGCTCAGCTGCGTCTTGCGGCTTAGAGAAGGATAGATGCCTACTTTGGTAGAACCCCTGAAACCCACGAAGACAAGTATCGTGCTGACTGACCGGAGATTCTACTCGGAGCGAAACTAGGATTCAAACCCATGACAAGCGGATCCCAACCCGCTCGCAAGGCGGAAGTTATGGATCAGGGACGGTTCCAGTGTAGATGTAGTCTGCCTTACAGACCGAGCGTATGGTTGATAAAACATTCACCGCAAGTCCACTCTCATCCCCTTCTCTAGGAGCCTGAAGTCATCCCCCAAGGCCTAAATTACGAGACTCCGGGATTTCTCGATAGAGTTCTTTTACAGAACTATTGTTATTTAAACTTATACATAACTTTTGCCCCGGTCTTAATGTTAGTTTTGTGGAACGGGGCCCAGGGCATTCGTGAGGTGCAAATTAAGTTACTTAATGAGAAGTGCTAACATCAGTGTCACAGTCAGTAGCGGCATGGGTGTCCAAAGGGCCATGACACTCAGGAGAAGTCCCGAAAATGAACCAAGCTGTGAATGTCATAGGTTGTTGAGGAGCCTACATCCCTTTCTACCGTAATGCATCACAGCCTTGTACAAGACGAAGCCTGGAAGTATATATACAGACACATAGCATTGTGTCGGTTTGATGATAACCGGTAACCGACATTGGTGTATCTAACCCTGATAGTCCAGTGTCCTCCACATCCTCACCCCGTGTTGATCAACGTCGTCCTCCGTCACACAAAGTGGAATGAGGTGTTTGTAAAGTCGAAAGCCAAACGTTCTTTTAACGTAATCGTGGACGTTTTTGCCCTGATTTATGCAGTGATTTAGTTATGCAAACTTATGACAGGACTAACAGGGACAGATGAGAGAGCTGTAGCCTTAGAATATGTGGCAGGCATCGCTAATGTCGCTGTCTTGTCTCATCAAAAGAAAGCCGTGGCAAGTCTCGACTGTACGGGCCTCGGCACCATGTTAAGATTGAGTAAAGCTTCATCTTCATGAGTCAATTTGTACATAATTGCAACTTGCCAGTCAGGAGTGCTCTCCAAACATTTTATAACCACTAGAAGATTTTTTTTGCTACGCGAGGCTGATGCTCTGGCGGAGTTGCAGATTGGAGGCGGGATGGACGTATTGCTTGGGGACTCGCTGCTACCTGGGAGAGGACGCACTGCAAACATGTAATTCATTCACTTCCTTTATATCGTGAAGGATTTTAATAAACCACTTAACTGTATTGACATTCTTGAGGAAAAACAAATGATGTTTATAAAGAACTACAAACGCAGAATTAAAATGATATGAAATACTTAATATCTCACACAGCAACGGGAAGATGTAAACTAAGTGGAGATATTGCTGCATTACGACGATGTGTCAACTAAATGTCACTCCTCGGTATTTTGCGGTACCAACTGTCGCGTAACGTGAATCAGACATTAAAGACCTTTCGGGGTATTAACGTTACCGACATGCTAAACTTATAAGAACACTGAACATTTCCACAAAACCTCACCGGGCTCATGACAGCTGAATCAAGAAGCAAGCGATGCGGAAGGAATATGGCATGTTCTTGTTGGTTAGAGTTAATCAGTCACCTATACACGTCCTTATATTGTCTGTTATGAGCCGAATATAGAGCAACGGGCAATGGGCTTATTGCATTTCAGGGACGTAATTCCCACATCTTCAATCATATAAGCAGGGGAGATGTCACATCAGCATCTCTATGCTAGAATACAGCAATGCCGGGAACACGAAGACTCCCGCTGACAAGGATGGAAGAGTTCGTCATTTCTATCCATCATCATCACGTATGTCCAGACAGTATTATAGTGTTCGATGGGAAGAAAAGGGATGTAACAGCGACAGTTTCTTACAAGGAAAGATGCATTACAGGACGTTCTGGTGTAGCTGCAGATCAGTGGAGAGTCCGCAGATGCCGACAAAAGTATACGTGGAGATGTTCTTCTTGATGGCATCATGAGTACAGCCCTTTCAGGGGCACATTTTAAAGCTCCTCTCTTTTTAAAAGATTTAACGTCTATTAGTTTTGGCTAGGACTGCCGATAGATCCCGGAGGCTCTCTTCATATGTGCAGCAGTATGTAAGGGAACGCATATTTGTATGACTTTTGGAGACCGGTGGCTTCAAGCTGTCAAGGCCTGCTTTGACAAGTTTTGTGTACAGTTAAAATATTGATATAATAATAATAATGATAGTAATAATAATAATAATAATAATAATGATAATAATAATAACGATGATGATGATGATGATAATTTTCTGTTGTCAATACATCTTCATGACGGCGTTTACTGTTGCGTTTGAGCATGCAAGCATATTGTTCATTAGTATACTCGTACATGTTACTTGTAAGTCATGGAACTGATAATAAGTTGACGCTACTGTGGTGTACCTTCAAAACAGGTTATATACATCCCCAATGACGAAAGGGAAAAAGTGCGAGTGAGTGAGTGCATTGAAGAAACGTCCACGTTAAGCCACAGTCGTTTACCTTATCATTGAAATTTACGAGCAAAGTTTGGTGCTGACAGACCATGGGCGACAACGAAGGCGAGACTAGGATTCGAAACCGACGGGTCATGCGAGCCATGTACTTGAGATGTAACACTGTAACATGGGTTTAACCAGCTTCCAACTTTCGGCTAGCTCTTTTCCTATTGTGAGTGAGTATGGTTTTATGCCGCTTTTAGCAATATTCCAGTAATATCACGTCAGGGGACACCAGAAATGGGCTTGACACATTGTACCTTTGTGGGGAATCGAACCCGGGTCTTTGGCGAGCAAACGCTTGAATCACTAGACTACCCCACTCTCAATTTAGTCAATCTCTAAAATGACTGAAATCTTCGCAAAGGCAATTTACAAGACGCCAAAATAATTGTAATTTTACAATCATATTGCCGTCAGATTGACCCAAAGTTTTTAAGAAGTCCCAAAGGGCTTAAACAGATTTCAACAGAATAATTATGCTAGGATTTGAAGCCAAAAAAAATAAAATATACATTTTCTTTGGGTTTTTTAATCCTATTATTGTCAGTCAATGGGTGAGGAGAAACAGCATAAACATGTTTGGAATTCGGTATCATAATATAATTAATGGAAAGGTAATTGTAAAATGACTGAAATATTTTGGCGTTTTCGTAAATTGCCTTACTGAAAATTTCAGTCTTTTTACATATTGACTGTAACACATATCACATGCCATACTGGGAGAGTCGCAAGGACGTGTTTCAAGTGAAGTAATTACAGGTACTCTGAGACAGCTACGAACCTCCCCTGTCACCGAGACCCACAGACACTCACCAGACTCTCAATTGTCAGGAACAACCGCGCCGGATGCCCATTCATTAAGCTGCTAAGTTAGCTAAAAGTCAAAACTGGACTGATTTTCCTGTCAGCGTTTCCAAGTATAGCATACCACATAATGCATCGTGCACATTGTTCCGGCAGATGGCGAGTAAACAAGGGATGGGTTAAAATGGTCTTTTAATTCCCCCTAATGTACAGGAAGGGTAGTTTACAAGATAAACAAGCAAGAAATGTTGTGAAATACCGATAAACATAACATCTCGGACAACAACACTAACGAGTGCTTGAATCGGGCCATTGCATACAGTTATAACGCATACATTAAAAGCCTCTCCACAGACAACTGAACTTGGTGCTGGCTGTGATGAAGACCTGGTCCCGTGAAGTGCTATAACGGACTGACTGACTCGTCTGCTCAAACCGATATCAGCACCGCGATTATTTTACAACATCATCGTAAGTACACCTGCCGAGGCACGCTGAGCATGTACAATAACTGTAGGTTTTCAACATGAGCCCCGCAGGCGCCATCTGAAAGTGTGGGGACTTCGATGGCTTTGAAGTGTTAACGTTACTTGTTTTATGGGAGGTTTTATGAACAAATTTTCTTTAAGAATTTTAGATGTTGCTTTTTCTGTTTTATTTAAGGAAGAACTAAAGGTAACACCAAGGACAACAGTGTCTACTCACCGGCTCTGTCCAATTCTGATGATATTGTTGCTCTGGCCCCGTAGGCTTGCACTGTGTTCTTCAGACTCCCCCGTTACCCCCCGAGGCTGTGTGTCTATATACCGTCCCCTCCCTCAAATACCCTCGGATCATCTGTTTTTCTCTCCGGCCAGGCACGGGATAGAATAATTATAGACAGCTCTCTCACCAGTGGATCAAATTTCTCCTTCGAATTCCGAGTGAAGTTTTCAGGGGGTTCGGCCGCAATCCGAAACATTAAAAGCATGCCATGGGACCGAACAGCGAACATAAATTGAAGGCATGTCGGCTACTTTGCAGACAATTAACGTTCTGAAGTGTCTTTCAGAGTTTCTCAGGTGTCAGGTAGCCAGCGACTTCCGGAAATGCCCGAGTACTTCCGAATGATTGTTTGCAATGCACATATGTCTGTCGTGACTAGGGAGGATGGGGACCCTTCAGATCAGAGGAGTCTATTGTCTGTGAAATATACACCAAACCTTGCCGAGAATTTCACGTGTTTCTGTTCCAAACATAAGGCGCGTCCCTGTGAGGACGTCCTGGACAGGCGTAGGGGTCATAGGCTGACTGCCCGGATGTGTCCACCACTCTTCTGAAAAAGACAGACATTTATGAATGAATTGATACAAAGGTACACGTACAGATGTGATGGGTTTGAGGTGAAGGTGTGTGCGTCACCTGGATAACACGTATGCCACGGATTCAGCTGGTCCATCACTGACACAATTACTTGACAAAAGTATCACAACTTCCTGATTTATTGTCAGTCATGCAGCACTTTTTTTCCAGTTCTAAATTGGTTACCTACGCTTCTTTCAAAATGTCCTTTCGCCTCGAATTCTACATTAAAGAAATTTCCATTTCAACATTCCGTGCTGCATTAGCTCAACTAAGATGTGCCTCACACCAGCTGTGACCGTCCCCATGGTCTAGTGGTAGAGCGTCCGCCCGGAGAGCGGAAGGTACGGGGTTCGATCCCCGGCCGCGTCATACCAAAAGACGTTAAAAGAAACACTTGTTGTTATCAATCTGGCGCTCGGCATTAATGAGCTTAAACAAGGACTGGTCGGCTCGGAGTATACTGTGTCTGAGTGGGGTATTCATGTTAAACTGCGCCATGGTATCTCAGTGTGCTAGCACTAGAACAAGAAGCCATACACACACGCACACACACGTGCATGCACGTCCCTATATAAGTGCAATAATCTTGCACGCGACGTTAAATCCCATTTCACCTAACCTCACACCAGCTGCGAAATGAAACTGGTAGATATGTTAAAGAAGACATATCAGAAAGAATATGTCATGTATGCAAACCCAGATACGGAGAGGATGAATACCATGATGTACTTGTGTGTTATGCTTATGGCAATCTCAAGAGTTTGTATATACATGTCCCCCCAAAAATACTACCTTTATCCAACATTACATAAATTTAACTAACTAACGTCTTCAAAAAATCCAGAAACTGTTACAATCATGCAACGTTGGTATATAAGTCAATGCAACTAAGACAATCATTTAAGTGAACAATGTATATTAATGTACCAGTGTATGTGCTGTTACTCTCTCAAGCAGTGGTCTCAACTAGTGAATAAACATTGATTGATCTTTCTTTTTTTAAATCATGATCCATTACGAGGATCCCTAAGAAACCAGCACGTGACCTTGGGATGCGAGGATTCAGAATCTTCTTTTTCCAATGACCAGTGACCTCGACCTTCACTCGACAGAACCCGTTACAACACCTGGTGTCCTCACTGTATGGTTACAATGATTCATGAGTGATGGTTTCTTCTAGGATGGTTGTATCTTGACAATGTTAAATGACACGAGCATCCTACCTCTAAGGCTTTGTAGTTTGAAGACAAAATGATGCACGTTTGATTTGTGTTTGGTGCCAATAATAGAGAATAAACAGGCGGTTAACGCGGCATCTCCAGAGATAATGGAGATACATATATACCCAATTAATCACAGACCTCGCCATGACGGCATGTATAGGACTGTATCTGGTGCCAACCTTAACTTGGGCCTACAGCTGCGCAGGGCACTATCATTCAAGAGTTATGGTGAACAGATGCCTACAAGCACAGCCCGTGTACAGGGTCATATGTGTACAAGGTCATGCATACATATCTGTCATAAACAAAAGCGCTAACCATAATTTCTTCAGGTTATTAAGTTATCTTTTACTGATTCTGAACTTCCATTGTCCGAAACTGTCAGGGTACAATACGAACACGTATCTTACTCTGTCAGGGTACACTATACACACGTATCTAACTCTGGCAGGGGACACTATACACAGGTATCTAACTCTGTCAGGGTACACTACACACACAAATCTAACTCTGTCAGGGTACACTATACACACGTATCTAACTCTGGCAGGGTACACTATACACACGTATCTAACTCTGGCAGGGTACACTATAAACACGTATCTTACTCTGGCAGGGTACACTATACACACGTATCTAACTCTGGCAGGGTACACTATACACACGAATCTAACTATGTCAGGGGACACAATACACACGTACCTATTTTAGGGGACACTATATATGTGTATCTAACTCTGTCAGGGGACACTATACACACGTACCTAATTTAGGGGACACTATATATGTGTATCTAACTCTGTCAGGGGACACTATACACGCGTATCTAACTCTGTCAGGGGACACTATATATGTGTATCTAACTCTGTCAGGGGACACAATACACACGTATCTAACTCTGTCAGGGGACACTATATATGTGTATCTAACTCTGTCAGGGGACACAATACACACGTATCTAACTCTGTCAGGGGACACTATATATGTGTATCTAACTCTGTCAGGGGACACTATATATGTGTATCTAACTCTGTCAGGGGACACTATACACGCGTATCTAACTCTGTCAGGGGACACAATACACACGTATCTAACTCTGTCAGGGGACACTATACACACGTATCTAACTCTGTCAGGGGACACAATACACACGTATCTAACTCTGTCAGGGGACACAATACACACGTATCTAACTCTGTCAGGGGACACTATATATGTGTATCTAACTCTGTCAGGGGACACTATATATGTGTATCTAACTCTGTCAGGGGACACTATACACGCGTATCTAACTCTGTCAGGGGACACAATACACACGTATCTAACTCTGTCAGGGGACACTATACACACGTATCTAACTCTGTCAGGGGACACTATACACAGGTATCTAACTCTGTCAGGGGACACTATATATGTGTATCTAACTCTGTCAGGGGACACTATATATGTGTATCTAACTCTGTCAGGGGACACAATACACACGTATCTAACTCTGTCAGGGGACACTATATATGTGTATCTAACTCTGTCAGGGGACACAATACACACGTATCTAACTCTGTCAGGGGACACTATATATGTGTATCTAACTCTGTCAGGGGACACTATATATGTGTATCTAACTCTGTCAGGGGACACTATATATGTGTATCTAACTCTGTCAGGGGACACAATACACACGTATCTAACTCTGTCAGGGGACACTATATATGTGTATCTAACCCTGTCAGGGGACACAATACACACGTATCTAACTCTGTCAGGGGACACTATATATGTGTATCTAACTCTGTCAGGGGACACTATATATGTGTATCTAACTCTGTCAGGGGACACAATACACACGTATCTAACTCTGTCAGGGGACACTATATATGTGTATCTAACTCTGTCAGGGGACACTATATATGTGTATCTAACTCTGTCAGGGGACACAATACACACGTATCTAACTCTGTCAGGGGACACTATATATGTGTATCTAACTCTGTCAGGGGACACAATACACACGTATCTAACTCTGTCAGGGGACACTATATATGTGTATCTAACTCTGTCAGGGGACACAATACACACGTATCTAACTCTGTCAGGGGACACTATATATGTGTATCTAACCCTGTCAGGGGACACAATACACACGTATCTAACTCTGTCAGGGGACACTATATATGTGTATCTAACTCTGTCAGGGGACACAATACACACGTATCTAACTCTGTCAGGGGACACTATATATGTGTATCTAACTCTGTCAGGGGACACTATATATGTGTATCTAACTCTGTCAGGGGACACAATACACACGTATCTAACTCTGTCAGGGGACACTATATATGTGTATCTAACTCTGTCAGGGGACACTATATATGTGTATCTAACTCTGTCAGGGGACACTATATATGTGTATCTAACTCTGTCAGGGGACACAATAAACACGTATCTAACTCTGTCAGGGGACACAATACACACGTATCTAACTCTGTCAGGGGACACTATATATGTGTATCTAACTCTGTCAGGGGACACTATATATGTGTATCTAACTCTGTCAGGGGACACTATATATGTGTATCTAACTCTGTCAGGGGACACTATACACACGTATCTAACTCTGTCAGGGGACACTATATATGTGTATCTAACTCTGTCAGGGGACACAATACACACGTATCTAACTCTGTCAGGGGACACAATACACACGTATCTAACTCTGTCAGGGGACACAATACACACGTATCTAACTCTGTCAGGGGACACAATACACACGTATCTAACTCTGTCAGGGGACACAATACACACGTATCTAACTCTGTCAGGGGACACTATATATGTGTATCTAACTCTGTCAGGGGACACTATATATGTGTATCTAACTCTGTCAGGGGACACTATATATGTGTATCTAACTCTGTCAGGGGACACTATATATGTGTATCTAACTCTGTCAGGGGACACAATACACACGTATCTAACTCTGTCAGGGGACACAATACACACGTATCTAACTCTGTCAGGGGACACAATACACACGTATCTAACTCTGTCAGGGGACACAATACACACGTATCTAACTCTGTCAGGGGACACTATATATGTGTATCTAACTCTGTCAGGGGACACTATATATGTGTATCTAACTCTGTCAGGGGACACTATATATGTGTATCTAACTCTGTCAGGGGACACTATATATGTGTATCTAACTCTGTCAGGGGACACAATACACACGTATCTAACTCTGTCAGGGGACACAATACACACGTATCTAACTCTGTCAGGGGACACAATACACACGTATCTAACTCTGTCAGGGGACACAATACACACGTATCTAACTCTGTCAGGGGACACAATACACACGTATCTAACTCTGTCAGGGGACACTATATATGTGTATCTAACTCTGTCAGGGGACACTATATATGTGTATCTAACTCTGTCAGGGGACACTATATATGTGTATCTAACTCTGTCAGGGGACACAATACACACGTATCTAACTCTGTCAGGGGACACTATATATGTGTATCTAACTCTGTCAGGGGACACTATATATGTGTATCTAACTCTGTCAGGGGACACTATATATGTGTATCTAACTCTGTCAGGGGACACTATATATGTGTATCTAACTCTGTCAGGGGTCACTATACACACGTATCTAACTCTGTCAGGGGACACTATATATGTGTATCTAACTCTGTCAGGGGACACAATACACACGTATCTAACTCTGTCAGGGGAC